AACAGGCGATAATAAAAATCACAATAAATATCTATTCTAAAATCAAATTAAATAAATAAAGGCCTGCTCTAAAATACCCCATATAAAAACCTATACTAAAACCTAATTAAGACTACGCCAGGCCGGCCGCACGAAATAGATGGGTTTTCAGGGCTCGGCGAAAAAGGCGCAGGTCCGCAGTTGTACGTAGGTCGGGGGGGGTAGGTCATTCCAGAGGGCAAGAGCTGCCACAGAGAAGGCTCTCCCCCTGGGGGTCACCAGCCGGCATTGACTGGCCGACGGCACCCTAAGGAGGCCCTCTCTGTGGGAGCGGACTGGTCAAAGGGAGGTATTTGGTAGGAGGCGGTCTTGCAAATACCATGGAGCAATGGACCTAGGTCTGATCAAGGTGACTTTTGTGGCACTCATGCTGATGTCTTCAGAAATAACAATGGTCATAAAAATGCTAAAGAAGCACAGCGCTCCAAATCCTCTATGTGCCTCCTCATCTATGTGGTCTATCTACTGTACATGGTTACCAAAAGTTGACATCCACTTGATGGCACACTCTCTCTCGATGAATCAAATCCCCCTTAGCGGAAGCTGTGTAAAACCTGTAATGCACCCCCCAAAATGATAGAAATAGCAACGTTATCTAGCTCTTTGGCCCAGCTTATGCCAACCTTTTCTGAAGTGCAGGATCAGCGCCATTTCAAAAGAGCACTTGCATTTGAAAAACAGGTTTGGTGCTCTTTTAAAAGAGCACTAAACCATTTTTTTTTTTTAAAAAGGACGAGTGGTTTGGGAAGTGCTGATCGGGCATAATGTGGGCAAATGCCTTCATTCTTGGTCCCTCCTAGGGCCCAAGCCAAAAAAATCTTGGAAGGCAGAGCCCACCAACCTCAAGAAAGGTGAGCAGGTAGTAGGAGCAGCAGCCTAAAGTGACCAATAGGAGCCAGGCAGAGCCAACCTTTGATGAAGTCAGCAAGTGAAGAGTCAAACCATAGCTAGCACATCAGGAAAAGAGGGGGGAAACCTTACATTAAATATTTTAAGCCTTACAGGCCCCGGATAACTGTAGGCTGCTTCAGCTAGAGGTTGGGATAAAGATGGAGCGTTCAAGGCGTGGATGGAGACATTGTGCAGAAACGAAATGAGAAAAATGGCTTGACTCAATAGAAGGCGGCTTCAAAGCAAGCTTAATATATAGTAGATTAATTCGTATAGAAAGAGCAGGCGACGAGCAGGTCTGGAAAACGCGTTCGCCTCCACGGAAGCCAAAACAGGCTCGTTTCCTCACTTCCTTGGCTGTTGGGGTGAGTCGTCCCTAGATCGAGAGCAGCGACGTTATCCTGCTCTTTTTCTGTCCCTCATCAGATTCATTTGGGAGAATAACGGGGGAAATCCACGTAAGAGGACACTTTTAGCCAGACATGGAGGTATATAATATAAATCGAATCGTCTACCCGGCGCCTCGTCCGCCTCTATTTGTTATCTGGGAACTAGCCGCCTAATCTGAGCTTCTCCGCGGCTGTACAAAAGCGCAGCCCGCCGGCGATTCACACACACAGCTCAATCACTGATAACAGGTTGCGCTCTAGTCTTCGTCGAAATAACGGGTGTCGACGCCACAACCCGGGCAATGGATTCAAACTTCGCCGGTTTTTCTGCCTCTCACGCTGCCCGGCGCTCCGCACATCACCTCGGGTCCCCCCCCCCCAATTTACCAGACAGCGAACTTAACACGAATAAAACATCGGGGCCCCCCTAACCACGTTACTGTGGATTTCACGTTACTCCCTGCACCGACGTGCACCAACGCAACTCCTAGCCAACCGAGAGGCTCGTTAAAAAAAAAAAGGCTGCCAGGGTAGTGAAGCAGATCGGGGGGAGGCGGCGGCGGGGGGGGGGGGAGAGAAGTACGGAGAAGCGGCATTGGGAGTCCGCGCAGCCCGCAAGTAGATTTCTCTCCGACTGGGAGAAGAACCATTCAGGCTACGAATGAAAGAAAAGTGACGCTTTCCTCGCTTCCCCCCCCCCCTCCGGTTTATCCCCCTGCGTTTTAAAGCCACCTCTTCTCGCCAGTAACCCTTTGGCCCGGCTGGCGCGCAGAGACCCTCCGAGTAAGCTAACAGCGGCGCCTCCTCCTTAGCGTGAAGGATCTCGACCGGGTGAGAACTGGAAGTTCAGTCTTCAAGAATTGGGGAGAGGGGGGGGGAGAAAGAGAGAGGGGGGGGCGATCATTGCTGCTGCGCGGGAAGGACACGCCTTCCTTCCTTGCCATTTGCCCTCCGAGGTGTTGATTTGATCCAGTTTTGGAGCGTTTTGCTGCGCGCCTTCCTCCCCCCCCCCTCCCTCCCCGCCTCCCGGGCGCATCCAGGTTGACACACGGTCCTGCTAGGAATGGACGGCGGGAGCTGTGCCACGCGCGTCTCCGGAGGAGGCTGCCTAGAAAGAGGGCTGGCTCGTCCAAACCGTCGGACCTGTTTTTTTCCTCCACCCCACGGCGGTTAAGACCTCCCTCCCTCCCTCCCGCCACCCGGGCGAGGTGCTCGATGCCCCTCTTTCGCCTCGAACTTGCTGCCATCAATAATTCATCGGCTCCCAGCAGTAGCGGCGGCGGCGAGCAAGAGAGCAGCAGCAGCAGCTCCGATAAGAGAGAGCGGGAGGCAGCAGGGCGGGGAGGAAAAAGCTGGTGCGTGAGCCGTGCTTGCCGGCTGCCTGCAGAGAGGAGGCGGCGGTGACAGCGGCGGCCGCTGTGGCGGTAGCAGCCAGAGCAACGGCGGCGGCGCATTCGGAGCTCTCCCTTCTCGCCACAGCCGTCTCCAGCATTATGTTCCCGCAACGCGCGGCGGCCGCCTCGCCGGCAAGGGCCGCCGACGCCGAGGAGGACACGGGAGGATGAGGACAGAAGGGAGGCGAAGGAGGAGGAGGAGGAGGCGCAGGCGGAGGGAGGCGGAGGAGGCGAGGCAGCCTCCTCCTCCTCCTCCGCGTCCGCCGCCTCCTCTGCGCCTCCTACTTCACCTCACAGGCCCCTCGGACGCGGCGCGAGAGGTCGACGGAGGACGAGCGGACGCGCGACTCGCGGCGGCGGCACCCGGAGTTCACGAAGAGCGACCCGAGGCTTGAGTTCCCCCTCGGCAAGGCGGACCCGTGTCGTCGGCCGCGGAAGTACTCGGGGCTCCTGCTGGCCGCCGGGCTCTCGCTCCTGGGCTCCGCGCTCTTCTGCTGCCGCCCGCTGGACGACGAGGGGGCCGGCGGAGCGCACCGCCAAGGGCACGCGGCGAGCGAAGTCGCGGTGGTGCCGGTCGGCGGAGACGCTCAACCCCAGCCCCAGTCGCTGCCCAAGGCGCCCCCCGGCGGGCGGCAGAACTTCCTTCTATTGGGGGTCCTTGTCTTCATGCTGGGGGTGCTGAGCGCCTTCGCCGGGGCCGTCATCGACGGCGATACGGTGTCGCTGGTGGAGAAGAAGTACTCGCACTACTGCCTCCTACAGGTTGGGGGAGGAGGAGGAGGGCCGTCGGCTCGGGCGCGGCCTGCGGGAAGCCCCGACGGCTCGGGGACGACGCTGCTGCTGCGCTGCCAGAAGCTGCGGGACTATCAGCGCGGCTTGGTCATCTCCACCATCTTCAACGCCCTCGAGTGCCTGCTGGGGCTGCTCAACCTGCTCTTGGTCAAGAACTACAAAGCGGCGCAGCAGCGAGGGCTTCGCCGACGGCGGCGCTGCCGACAGGAGCAGCGCCTTGCGGGCGGCCGTCGGAGGCGACGGAGGGGGGCCGGCGGCGGGGGAAGTGGCGGCGGCAGCGGCGGGCGGCGGCCTCAGCGCCAAAGCCAAGGCTCGATCTTCTCCAGCGAGGACCCGGATCTGTCTCCGGGGGGCGATTGCGCCTTCCAGGCCGTCTCCTACATCAACGTCGGCGTCTTCCACGTTTTCGACGAGGCCGGGGTGGAGGTACACTGTGGCGGGCACCCTTCGATCGAGTTGCCTGGGTATTCGCCCATGGACCCCGAGCTCAATTCCTCCTACCCCTACTGCTACCCGCTGCCCAATGAGCAGCCTCCATCCTACGAAGACATTTATCCCAGGGAGCTCTGTGCCAACCGAGTCTAGGCCCCGGCCAGGCCCCTTTGGAGACTGCCCGCCCTGCCCGTCAGCCTGCTGGACTGAGAGGGGCAGAAGATGAATTTGGGCAAAGGGGGCAAAGCACAGAGGTTTAATGGGCAGGACCAGTAGCACAAGGTGAGGCCAACCCTGCTGTTTGCCAGGACTCTTACCCAGAAGCTGCCAAAACAAAACAAAAAACCAAGGTAGAACCCCAATAAATGCCTAGAAATGAGACCAGGCTGGTGTGTAGTGTTGGTCCTGCTTTTGGTGGCAAGTGGGAACCCGTTGGTCCAAACAGCTTTGCCTTCCTTTTTTTCTTGAAGAATCAGGCATATTTTTCTCTTCACCTCTGGTGGGAGAAGTCTTGAACAGAGTTTTAGAAAGTTGCTAGTGTTTTGCAACCTGTTGGAGTTTTCTCCAATACATCCTGTCAAGATTTCTCTTTCTCTGCTACAGTACTTTTGGTTCTAGCACTAAAAAAAACAAAACAAAACAAAAATAACATAGCTACCTGTTAAAGGGTTCAGCAAAGTGCATTTTCACGGATAAAGATAATTGGGGCAATCTTGGGGTGATGCTTTTAATATCTTTTTAATTTTACCCTTAACTGTCTTTTATCTCTTGAGTATGGTGAACATTTTAGGGTTGGTTCTCACCCGTTTTCTCATTTGGCTTGGATTGAAATCACCAAATGGTTCAGCCTGCCTGGCTTCCTCACCCCTTCCCTGCATCAAATGAATCTTTATGATAACCTCAGCTTTAAAAGTGCAAAAGAGTTAAGTTCAGAGAACCAGCCAGCAAGAGAGAGAGAGGGGGGAAAAAAAAGCAAGCATGAATCTCTCAAAGAGATATTTCAGAGAGCTGAAAGGAATTTTGAACAAAGCTTCTTAAGTTTACAATATTCCTGGGAGATGTTATGTTCAGTTTAAATCTTAGAGTCTAAAACCATAGTTGGTCTTGTAAGATGCACATAAATCTGCACTTTCAAAAGAAGAAAAAAAAAATCAACATTTTTGTACACTAATGTGCCTGCTTTTTGTTGATAATTTCTTACTGTAAGAGCTTTCAAAAAGTCTATAGTGAAAATGTTTGGTAAAGTCATTGCAATGTAAAATTAAGAAAACCAATTCCTTAACTAAAACAGAAATGCTGTATGGAATTGAAGAAAGTCTGAATATCATACATTCCTTTTGTAAATTGATTCGTGTTTTTTAAGCAAAGCAGGGCTTATATTTATTTTACTTTTATTTTAAAGGTTTAACTCTTACTTTCTAAAGGTATAGCCAGTCATTTTTACAAAGTAGTTTAATGATAGCCTTACCAACTGGTGAGTTTGAGAAGCTTGACCATTGTACAATACACTTATGTCAGGCAGCCATTATTGAGGGTTACAGTGTTCAATGTACTTGCCCAAACTCATTTGAAATGTATTTTAGAAATCATATTATGTCCATTTAAATGGAAAAGACTCAACAGGTGAAGGCTGAAAATACTAATACTAAAAAAAACCTTTTCATCTAGACTCCTTTAATTGTTGAACAAAAAAACCACTACATCTGAAATCATATCTCTCTTTGTTTCTTTTTATTCTTCATTTAATAAGTGCAAATTTCTTCAAATTTCTTTGGAAAAATAGTGCTGTGGGATGGGACATAGTCCCTCCCTCCTTCCCTTCCTTCCTTCCTTCATCTTCCTTTTATCCTATCTTGATCTTACCCTGGAATTGGTAGATAGTCTTATTGGGGATGGGGAAGGGAATTATTATTTTGCCCTGTATGTAAATTAAAATCAGATGGAGAAAATTTTAGAGAAATTTGAGAGGAAATGGTAGAACATGCACACATCATCATGTTCCAATCAAATTCTGAACCCATCTCAAATTATGTACTTGTTTTAAAATAGAAGAAACATTGTGAGATCTGATCAAAGATTGCCTGCATTACAGTTGGGAAATTAAATTCCATTAGAATACTGGCATAAAAAATTAATATATAGAAGAATTAAAGAAAGGTACTTATATCCATCTTATTCACCCAATATACCAAGCTCATTTAAAAGCTCAGCTGTTCATTAATGTCCTTAAAACAAGGATATTTTTTTCCTTATATTATTTTGTAAACTGCTATGTATATTGAAGGAACTGTATAAATGATAGCAAGAATTCATATTGGAACTGTTATGGAATGCATACATTACCAATAAGGAAAATTAAAGGACAATAATTTTGTCCTGTTTTTTGCAATGTACAGATTGATTTTTTTTAATTAAGGAGCTGAACAAAATAAATGTTCAGCCTTAAATTAAAAAAAATCAACCTAACAGCAGTGAAATCTCTCTGCAGTATTTTATTATCTGAAATTGTTTTAACTTGCACACTTTATATAACTTAAAATGCATAATGCCTTAGAAAACTTAAAAACAAATTTAAACCTATATCTTAAAAATATTAAAATCCTTATCTAGACAGCTGAATCAAGAGCATTTAGTCTACTTTGCTAAATAATTGCAAATTTTTAAAAGACTCTAGTTATTATTAAATAAGATTGTCCTCCTTTGCAGAGAATAAGCACAATGCTCACTTAAGATCTACTTGAAATCAGTACACATCATTTTATATATATCTAAATCATTATGAATTCTGCCTTGAGTTCGGACTTTGAATCCTATCTGCAAAGAATGTCTCTGGCTCATAGCTCATGAAATGAACAGAAATTATGGAACAGAATGGCAATATTGTAGCACATCTCCCACTCATTTCATTTGGTCTTTCAGAAAAGATGTTTTTAGGGAATTATATCCCTACAGCATTTACTCAGGAAGGACTTTGAATGTGCATGGAAGGCCAAGAAGAAAATGGTGCCAAAGCTAAAATTTGAAATATTCTGAGTAAAACCTCAATTCAAAAAAACTCTCCTTTTTTAAAACTCAAACTATTCTACAGTACTGTATTTGTGGTTCAGTAGAATGAGATCCAGTCTAGATAATACTACATAACTAAAATTGTCCATGGGCTGTATCATTTTAGATTGTAGGTAGGAATGCATACTTCGTTGATGTGTTGATATATCTTCCTCAAAATTCCCACGCATACTAAATATAACGCTGGAGAAACAAATTTCACCTAGCCTTTCCTTTGTTGCGCTGATTTTCTATATATAAGTAGAGAAATTTGCTTTTGGTACCTTGGGGGCACTATTCAAGTATATATATATATATATATCCTTCCAATAACCCAAAAACAATTTAGTTTAGGATGAGCTGTTCAGAATCTGAATGTTATTTAATTGCTAGAAATGTCTGAGTGCATATAGGTAGGTAAAGATAAAGCTAGGCATAGTACCTACCTATAGGTAGGTAAAAACAGGCAAATACTACAATCTTAGTGCTTTCTTAGCCTTCTCTTTCATTGCAAGGCTGCATCAATCCTTTGTCCAATCTAGCAACAACTTTTCATAGTTTACAGGTTTCTTCCCCAAATCCTTTTTTCACTGGTATTTCAACTTATGTGGATCACAATAAGATGAAAAACAGAAGAGAAAAGGAGAAACTTCAAAACACCTTGTCAGCAGAACATAAGGAAATAAGGTTGTCCTTGCACCATATCCAGGCTCATTCGAACTCATGGTTCAGGAGAAAGGTTAGGACATGGATCTCAAAACATTTTGACGAGTGGGAATCTATGAGGCTGTTATGGGGACTTTTATCAACTGGCTGCCATTCAACTATAGAACACTATTTACCAAACTAGTCTCCTACTATTTTTTTGCTAAATGTCTCTGGTTTGGGGGGCAGGGGTAGAGGTAGAGATAGGATAGAGATACATCTTGCATTTGAGGTTGCTTTCTTTGCATTCCCCCCCCCCCCAGTTCAGTTTGTTTTACGGTAAAAACATAGGAAAGGGCATGATGGGCACCTAGGAATGTTGAAGACAGTGGTTCCTTGGACCAGCCAAGTGAAATGGCACAATCCAGGCAGATGTTTAGCAATTCACGTCATATTTATAAAAACTAAATCCAAACTTCATAGAAAAGTGTTTAGTAAGTATGAGCTCTAGGGACTTATTAAGCAAGCTTTGAAAAATCCACTCCAATTTTTTAAAATGTTACATAAAAGAGGGCTTATTTTAGATCAAATGTAGGCTTGAAATATAGTGCCTTAGGTAAAATTGATTAGGAGCCCATTGTTTTAATGGCGTTTTGAAACACTGAATCTTCTGACTTGGAGGTTCTGGAGAACTCACTCAAAGTCAGAAAAGTTTTCCCAGAAACTTAAAGATCATGTAACATAGGAATATTGCTCATAACCCCATTGTTGTCTCTGTTGTCATAGGTTTTGAGTTTTAGTTAAAAGCAACCCAGTCTGGTTGACAGTGAAATATTTGTGCATAGCAGCATGAGCAAAAATGTCTCTAAAGTTTTGGTAAGGGAGAGAAAAGTTGTTTATCTATCTATTGTTTGAACTAAGCTTTGATGTAACAAAAGCAGCAGAATTTTCTCATATTTAGATCATGAATGAACGGAGACCAGGTTTGCTTCAGGAATGAAATAAGTCTAATATAGATCCAAATGCAATGGAAATACTTTAAAAAAAAACTTTACTAAACGGTGATGCCATTCTTATCTAATTTTGGTAGAGAATGGAGGCTAATTTAGTTTACAACAGACTTATCCATGTTTCTCTTTATGGTCTGCACAATGCATATAGAACATTTGCTGGAAGTTAACAATGCTCTTGAAAAGAAACTGCCCCAAATATCTGATTAATGTCATTTTTTAGCCTTAGTATTAGATTTGTTTGGTTAACTTGAATAAGAGTGACACTAGAATGCTACCCAAGAAAAGGATAGGGGAAGAATAGGGGATACAGTATTCCTCAGAGATCACTATATTATTTCTAAAGAGTCAGTTTGGTGTAATGGTTAATGGATCAGGCTAGAAAATGGGAGACTGTGAGTTCTATTCTTAACTTGGGCACAAAACCAGCTGGGTGACCTTGGGGTAGTGACT